TTCTTTTTTTTCCAATATATTCATTAAAATTAACTTACTGGTCAACTTCTTTTACTAAGATGAATCTCCGTCATCATTATAATAAGTTATTATGTGTCTTTTTATCAATATATATTATATCATTTTATCAATAACGATAAACTTTTCACTGTAAAAGAACTTTTGACCAGAAAGCTTTTTCAAATTGTTTTATCAGATGTATGATGTTTAATTATATTCATTACAAGATTCTCCAATTTTTTCCGACCAAATTTTTTTAGCTTTTGTGTTAGCCAAAGTTCGATATAGTCAATCTACGTATGAAAAAATTAAATGAACATGAAGTTGAATGTTATTAAGGATATCGATTTATACTTGCTAAATATATATATATATTTAGCAAGTATAAATCGATATCCTTAATAACATTCAACTTCATGTTCATTTAATTTTTTCATACGTAGATTGACTATATCGAACTTTGGCTAACACAAAAGCTAAAAAAATTNTAAGAAATATAATAAATTACCAGTTTAAATATTGCGAATTTTTTTCTCAAATCTTTTTTGAGAAATTATGCAGGTCCATAACAATCCTTTGTCAAGCTTTAATCGTCACGTCAGTGCAAGAAAGAGTCTTTTTCGAGGCAATGTCAAGAGAAAGTCTGTTCAGATTTCAAAGTAAGAGAGCGTTCTTAAGCTGAATGTCAAAAAAGAGCCTTTTCAGGGAACACATTTTTAGATTGATTTTAAGTTCGTAACATATATAATGTACGTATACAAATCGTCTTTGATAAGTATATTGTTGACCTGACGTACTTCTTGATTGATAAATTAATTTATGTTTACCAAAGCGTTAAAAACCAATAAATATAAGATCTCACGCGTGTCTTAAATATCAGGTAAATTAAATTAAATGTAAAATTATTTAAAAAAGGCCTCCAAACTTTTTAAGCAACGCGCTTCTTGATTAATAAAACAAATTACAATAAAAAAAGTATTTTAAACTTATTGACCCAACGTGAGCCTTGAACTTTCGGTTTCTTGGTTCCTAGCGTTTCAATAATCATCGATTAAAATATCAATCGAGAAGCGCATTGCGTCAATAATAAACTTGTAAAAGTCAATTTGTAATCTTTATTTAATACATTACCAACTTAAAATAAAGTAAAAAATAATTTTCTGAAAGGTTGTTTCTTGCCCTGGAGTCCAAAACAATTTTTTCTTGCTTGGAAATCTGAACAGACTCTTTCTTACCATCAAGTTTCAAAGGGCTGTTCTTTACATTGCCTCAGAAAATACTCTTCCTTGCTCTGACTCAACGAAATATGCACGACACAGTATGACTCCTTATCAGCTTCAACGATAGTTTGATCATAGTCAAGTTAGAATATCACTATTTCCTAAGAAAGAAAATCAAATAAACAAAAAATTAACAAACTTGAAGGTACATAACATTTTGTATACTTAAAAAAAAGTTTTTATTTAGGATTATAATATATACTATAGCAACCTCTGAAACAGCTATGCCGACTTTTTATGAAATGATATTTAAAATGTTTACTCTGATTTGTATTTCAATGTAATATTTTTTAATGATACTTTAGTGCATTTTAAATAACTCAAAAATATACAACAAAGTATTTCCTGTCACTTTAGCCGCGTTCTATTAATATGTATTTAAGATATTTAATTTTTTTTTTTAT